ACGTGCCGCAGAGAGGCGCGACGTATCGTCTCTCGATCGACGAGCTGAAGAGAGGCGTGAGGTCCGCTCTGTTGAACGACGAGCTCTAGAGAGGGGTGACATTCGATCTCTCGAACGACGATCTGAAGATAAGCGAGACATTCGATCAGTAGAGAGGCGGTCTGTTCAACGCGCTGAGGAAGGCCGCATCGCAGATATGCATTCTCGCCGGTTCAGCGAGATGTTCCTGTCTGCAAAAAGCACTCTACCCAGCAAGGCGATGGAGTCCGAGACCGCAGATGTCGGCGTCCTGGTTAACATGCACAAGGCCCTGCTGGCTGTCCTGAGCGGGGTCGCAGACATGACTTCTAAGACCACACCAATGGCGGAAATCATCGACAACGAATCAAAGGTATAGTGTGCAGTTTCAGATTAACTATCAGAAATCCATGAAAACCTTTTGCAAAAACAACCATACTCAGTCTAACTACCTCTTCCAGATACCGACACGAATTTCTGGCTTCGACACCCTCACCTATCCTGGAAAGAGCCATAGGTAAGCAATCATCATTTCCCAGTAGTACTCGGCGGTAATGGACCTCCCTCTGATTGATTTTCTTCTTGTGCAGCTGGAGCATGTCCACGGTGCTGGGAGGCGCAGCCCTGCTCATGGCCATGCGCGGCTCCCGCCTCGGCAGCGCCAAGTGCTAGACGGACGGAACTCTCGTATCGCTTTTAGAACGCCTCTCTAGCGTCGGCCCTTTATCTCGCCACCGACTCAAACTAGGTCTACTTATGTCGTAAAATAGCTTACGGCATGTATCGGATATTACGTCTCGTCTCATATTTATATTTTCACGACAGTGTTATTTTTGAAATAGCAATAATAGTCCATTCCTTGTATAATATTGTATCATTTTGGGTGATATTAGTATCTAAATGTGACGGATAAACTACTCAGGGAAATATTGACCCAATATCCCGTATTTATATAAGTGGAAGATACCGGATATTGGGGACAGGGAGCGACGCGGTTTTCTAGCTGTGCCATACAACCACGTCGTACCTCACCAAACATTGTAAACATATTTACATAGTACCCTTCTCTGTATATTTACTGTTTTTTACAAGCGGTACTTAGGATTTTACGAAGAGGCTGTTCACTTACTCGGAGGGTCTTGACTTCTTTTCCATTAGGCGGAAAGTTGAGTCGAGATCAGTTCTCAGTACAGTCTCCTAACTCATCAGTAACCAGTAATGTTAAGCGTGGGGCCGGGCCATGCGGGTTAGCACGCTCTCCACTCGCCGACTCTAGCTGATTAGGTGAGGCGAACGGGGGGGCTGCCTAGATCGTCCGGATCCGTCTCAAGTCTCAGTTCTCACCAAACGCATTCATCTATCGTGTATCTTAGCTAAATAAAGAGCATAGTGCGAGCACAGCAGCAAGTGTTTTACCCTTATCCTTTTTGTAACTACCCGGCCAAAGCAATGGCTACACACTTTACCATAACTCTATTTTTCTTTTTTGCCGGAGGAGAGGTGTGAGTGTGTGTTTGTGGGGGGGGGGGCAAACAGTTAATAATTTACCAGAAAAACGTTGGCACACAGGGAAAAATCGGTACCAGTATAGTCTACGCACGTGTACACGTCGAGGGTGGTTCGATAAACAACCAAGAATTCAACTCGATAGTTTTGCTCACGTCTCCGGCCTTGCACAAGTGGACGCTGCTGCGGCCCTCCAGGGGTATCGCACTTAACGAGCTTGTGGAATCAAGCGAGGGGTGGTGGGGCGGGTCGGTACCCTGGGGCAGTGCTCACATGACCGGACATTTTTAAAACGAGGAAGCAACGAAAATTTGAATTTTCTGCTAGTCTAAAAACCTCACAGCTGTTTTCATCTCCCTGTATGGGTGCATTTGTGGTAGGAGGGATGGGTAAGGGCGGAAGGGGGGGGGGGTGATGTACTGGGCTTCGTTGTCATTAAAAAAAATTAACGTAAATAAGTTTTTGTTTTTTATTATTATTAAATAACCAATAATCAACACAAACAAATTTCCAGGCAAGCTAGGTAGACGCTGTAACTTATGTGCAACAGTCCCGGTGAAGTGTTTGGTGGTTTGGTTGTCAATCTATAAATTAATAATAATTTGATTGCGAGATGTCTCATTACCGAGTATCCCACTTTATATATTTACACTAAATCACATATAGGAAAATAAATAATACACGATCTCTCAACATAATACAAAGTTACCTTACGAAATCTACTTCGCCTACTCCCGTGGCAGGGGCATAAACGTTTGAGCTTTGATTAATCCGTCTGGAACTGAACGAATCAGCGCCAGACATTTTGAGAAAGGAACTTGTTAACGACTTTCATGATCGCGAATGCTCTCATGAATATTGAACAGCCTCTCTTCAGGCCTGCCCTTTGGTACTCGCTCGGACAAGTCTTAGCTTGAGCCGAATAGTTTATACCTTGACCCCTACCTTTTCTATTTAACGGCTACATTTCGCTTTGGCGAGGCTCACACATTGAAGTTCTGCTAAAGTACTCCCTTCCGCCCTTGCGCCCAGTCGCGTTGCGGATCAAGCATCGCCTTCAAATCAAAGGGAGCTAAAAACAAATCACGTCGTGACTACTTTTTCGGTGTACTTTCACACAAGTGCAAGTGCTAAAAGAGTGATTGAACCACTCATTTGATATTAAAAGAGAAAAATGACGGGTAAGTGTCAGTGGTTCGTCATATACAATTTCCGACACCCAAAACAAAAACGTTCACCACCTAAAAACAGTTTTCCCCTCCAATGTTCATCGCGTTATCCTGGACAATTTGTCACAAACTGTGAAAAAAATACTGTTTTCGCGACTGGTGCATACGAACGGGGACATGGAAAATATCCGCGGCAGTCCTCACTACTGTCCC